ACGAAATCTATCATTTTAGCTCAAAAGAGCATCCTAAAATTAGTAAAATTGCAAAGTTTGGTTGCGAAATGTTGTAAAATACGAAAAATATAGCCCTGTAAATTAGAAAAAAATTCGGCTCAAAAGTGGTGCATTTTTCCGCGCGTAATACCGAAATACTCAAAATTTAAAGATGTGCTTTTAAGCTATAATGATAGATTTCGTCCTTTTTGTCTGGATCAAAATATAATCTATAAGAATCATCCATTTAGTAATCAATTTATTTCGGAAAAATATGCTGGTAAATGACTAACAGCACACGTAAGTAAACCTAGCAGTTCCTTTGTGAAAAGGAGACAATCTGTCTGACAAATCCACATAGTTTTTTCTTGACAAAGGACAGGAAATATCGCAAATAAGAGTAAAAACGTATTTGGAACAGGGTTAACTTCATGTTTAAGTTCCGTGTTTAAGAAATAGAAAATATACGAATCTTCTCCGGCCGGGCATATTTTTCAAGCTCGCCCGGTGTGGATATACACTCAGAGTAACATCACAAATATCATATTCACCTGAGTACAGAACACAGAAAAAATCATATTACTAGATTACATTGGTATCGAAGGAACTAGATTCTGTTCCGAAGTATCACTTACCCGAACCGTCCTGACCGCGTAGCTTAGTTGGCAGAGCATTGGGCTAGTATTCCAAAGGTCGTAGGTTCGATTCCCACCGTGGCCGGGCATATTTTTCAAGCTCGCCCCGGTGTGGATATACACTCAGAGTAACATCTGAGTGTATATCCACACCGGGCAGGCTTGAAAAATATGCCTGGCCACGGTGGGAATCGGACCTACGACCTTTGGAATCATGATTATTACTAGATTACATCACGTGCTCACAGTAACATCACAAGCATCATAGTCACCCCAATACATTACACCAACACAGAGAAAATTGTTCAATCCTGTTTTCATCAATATTGCAACAACCTGATCGTTTTTAACTGGGTACGAGGCAATGAGTAACGAGTAATGAATTTCCGTTCTTACTTTGGAAAGATAAACCATGAAAACATTGACAGTGATTCCACTCACTGTTCGGTATACCGATATACCGAAAATATCGGTATTAAATCAAATTCGGTATATCGATACCGGATGTTCAACCATACCGATACACCGAAATTTCCGATATACCGGAATTTCTCGGCATACCGTGTTAAATTTACCAACTATATATGGCGAAACCATAACCTTTATTTTACTACTGAATGGCAATTCATAGTCATAGAACTTTCTACTGCAATGATTTAGAATTTCCACTTCATGAGATTTTACACTGAATACGTGTCGTTCGAAACAGCTTCGAAATTATCGTTTTCCCTTTTGGAATTGCTCAAAATTTCCTTCAAATTTCCATTAAAGAATTTTCCTTTATAATTATCAAAGGAAAACCGGTATACCGATAATATCGGTATAATTTTTTCGGTATCCCGATACCGAAAATTTCTCACAGTGTCAGCAGTGAAACTGACATCAACCATGGCCATAATCAGTTCGCTTATAGCATACTCGTTTTCAGCTTTGTTCAGCTATCTACTCCTCATTAAAATCGTGAAAAGCACTGGCTGGGAATTCCAGACTCTCATGTGTAAAAAACAAAGCAGCAAATTATATAAAATTCCTCAAAATATAACTCTCGCATAACAAAAACTTTGAATACTTCTGTAATATGTATAGCTTTTTCCTATGCATTGTCAAAAAATTAATAAAATAGTGAATTAATATCATTTTCTATAGTTGATAGACTGAATATATCGGCGTGACAAAATTTGCCGCGAGTTTGAAGCGTGTTTTATCACATATAAAGACACGCCACGCTTATGATTTCTCTTTGTGTTTTCCTCATGAATTATTAATGAGTTTTTGAAGGATAATTAACAGTTATAATAGGACACGCGGAAGAGTGTATTAAAGCAGGCACGCTTGGCCATTTTGAAACGTTTTCTCGAGGCAACCGAGCACAAAAGTCAAGCAGAATTTGCAAGATGGTGATGTCTAGAAGTACAGCGATTGGGTCGATAGTAACAGGCTCTATCATGCTTGGCTTTGCAATTATTGCCGTGATATGTGGCGCAATTTCAACCGGGAGGTTGTCTGGCGCAGTGGCCGCGTCGGCTGGTCTGTGGTCGCTCTATGTAAGTTTTAGCAGGTTAAAGCCTTGTTCATGTCAAAACCTAAAGCCCTATGTCACCCATGTTGTTTAGAGCTTCAGTTTCATTTGGTCGCAGTTTTCGAAGGCTTGATCGTCAGAGGGTTTCCGATCTTGCCATTGTTCAAAACTCTGGATTTATCTTGCTTTTTGTGAAGCGTTTTTTTTCAAAAACGATTTTTCAAATTGTAGAAATATGTCGGTAGCCCTATTTTGGTTACAAGGCTGAGGCTGAATTCTGGTTCTCTTTTGCTATTTGGTGGCAGCTGTCGTGTCTGCCATTGGACCTTTCCCCTTCAGTATAACTAAAATTTTGATCTAGACAAAAATTTCATCACAGCTTGAAAGAGCATCACAAAATTAGTATTAATATTCCAATGTTTCGTTGCGAAATGTTGTAAAATGCGGATAATATAGCTTTGCGAAGTTAGCCGTTTTTCAGTCATTTTGTATTACGCATGGGAAATTGACAGCCCAATCGGGTGTTGGGGCATCAATTTCCCGTTTGTATTACAAAATGACTGAAAATTGCAAATTTCGCAATGCTATGTAACCTATATTATCCGCATTTTACAACATTTCGCAACGAAACTTTGGAATATTACTAATTTTGTGATGCTCTTTCAAGCTGTGATGAAATTTTTCTCTAGACTTGTCTAGATCAAAATTTTAGTTATAAGCGGAAAGGTCCATTGTCAAGGTCAAAGTAAAGACCGCTTCGACAAGACAACAGTCTGCGGCAATACACAAAATCGATCTTTATGTATACACAAAATCGATCTTTATGTATATAAGGGAAGCCTCACATATCGAATTTGTCCATGAGTAACGTCATATGTTCGTTTCTCTGGAGACCCCCCCACCCCCACCCCCCCAGAAACGTCTTTGTTCTTATAGTACACATGAATAAGGTAATTTTCTATATACATTTTTTTCGGTCGGCTATTGGCGATGCTTCCGCGAGGAATATGACATACTCTTTTTTTATTATGAACTGCAAAATTTTATGAACTGCAAAATTTTCAACGTTTCTCAAAACAACTTTTTTTGCATGAAATTGAAATATTGATCATTTTAGCGCGTTTTTCTTGAAATTTGAGTGTTTTCAATGCAAGGAAGGCGTAATAATATAAATGTATAGGTATAGAACAGGTATGGTATTACGAATGCATAGACTGCTGTTTGTATCAAATTTTATATTCTGCAAAGATAAAAACTATCGAATTTTTCCATGATGTTTACAGAGAAACGTCACAGCTGCATTTTGCAATATACACGCACCTCATGAAAACCAGCTAACGCTGATGAGGCTAGCGTGACTAAATAAATGATTATGTATGTATGCATGTGACTGTGTAAACATCTTGGCTCTTTCCACACCGAAAATTTCGTGATGTTTGGACACTTATGGGGAACTAAATTATCAAAACGCCATAACGCTCTCTTTGAATGTCCAAACATCATGAATTAGTAGTTTTGCACAAGTGAATATAACAAATCCTGCAAGGTGATTGGTCAAATTTGACGTATTAAGCTGTTGTATTCACCTACAGGTGAATATAACAAAACCGCAATTTTTAAAATGGCGGCTAGCCGTTTTATGCAAGTTACTGATAGTAAAGAAATAAGCGAAATTAAAATAAATTCAGTCGCAAAAAACACCAAGACTTGTGTAAAAATTCTAAAACAATTATTCGCCTCAGGCTCGGTGATTATCGGGGAATATTCACCTCGACTTCGTCTCGGTGAATATTCTCCGATAATCACCTCGCCTTCGGCGAATAATTGGTTAATGTTACGAGAGTATCTAAATAGTCATGAAAAATAGTTCATTTTTCACCCCAGGTTATCTTAAAAATTACGTACGTCAAATGGAGAGATAATGAGCATTTTTGCTGTAAAACGCAGATAAAGTAAATATCATTTCGGACCTGCGTAAAAGTGTCAGTTACCTGTCCATTAAGGTCCACCGGACGCGATTCGACAACGCGACGCGATTTTCAAGTTTTCGAAGGTTAATAAAACAGCCAATGAAAGCAAATTTTAAAAGATATGTAGACCAAATAACTCAAAATAACGCTTCTAAATATTTAGAAAATTTAAACTAGGATCAAAGTTATCGGTCAGTGAAAATCGAAAAATCGCGTCGCGTTGTCGAATCGCGTCCGGTGTGTCTGGACCTTTTAATATAGGGGGTAGTAAATCTTCGAGTTAAGCCCTTCGAGTTAATCCCAACCACGCCCTTTCGAGTTAAGCCATGACCACGCCCATGACACACCCATTTCCGTTGAGAGCTTAACTCGAAGTACATAACTGGATTTAGGTACTTAATTACATGTAAGCCCTCTAAAAAATAGGGGATTAACTCGAGCAAAGTCAAACATTTTGTTCTTCGACTAATTAAGCCCCAACGTTTGAAAGATGTAAACGAGTTACGGTTAATCTGATCGATCCCAAACAAATTAAATTGTCATTTGGATCGCGTTTCGTTCAATCACGATTCAATACGTTTTATTTCATCCGACATATTATATAATTATATATACTACATATTATATTAAGGCCCTGTTACACGGTGCAATTTTTCATGCAACTTGTCTCGCAATGTTTAAAAAAAGATTTTGATAATGCATTGCAACAGGTGTTACACGCTGCAATGATTTTCATGCAACTCGCAACGATAGGGGACAGAG